CCACACTGGCGTGGCATCTCTGCCGCAGAGGATGACTGGAACACGAAAAACAGTACGCAAGAGTTAACTAGTTGAACCGTTTGTTGAGCTGTTATGCATCCTCTTGTGGGAGAGTTGCCTGCACCTAGGCTGAGTCATCGCCAAATCCTAAATCATGCTAGCTTCGAGGACGACAAGTCACTCTCGGGGTTAGCGCCGGTTGTTGCTGTCTGACGGGAGTCCTTGGACTGATAAATTTCCACAGGGTATCGCAGCTTCGGTCGTTGGGAATTGTATCTCCGGGAAGACGGTGTTGGGACCTTCTTTAAACGTTAGCACCTGATGCAGTCCCACGACGACGAAGGTATCATTCACATACAGATCCCAGCATTTCGGTTTGTGGTGTTGGAAAAGCAGCAGCTCTAACCAATGGTGGACCGCCTCGCCTATGAGTCACGAAATCGACGAACTCATTGATATTGGTAGAATACATGCTGCTTACCTATGTTCACATGGTAAAAATGGATTCCTTCATTATCTTGTTTACTTTGAACTAGGATACCGGTACTGATGGCCAAAATGGGCGTGTTTGGGCGCGTCCTCTGTGTTCTCTTTTTTCTGTGCCTCTCATTTGCTGGAATAACTTCAATGATTTCCTACATCGAACTCACAGCCAGAACTATTCAGGACTTTGGGGGTAAGTTGCGTTTTAATTGGTTGCGCAAAGTAGGTATCAGTACCATGAGAAATTTCTACAAAAGTACTATGTTATTGCGCGCCAGTTGCGAGCGATTGTTGTGTGATTTAGTTGAACATGCGATTGAGCAAAAAAGAACATTATATTTCAATTCAAAACGTGAGTTGAGAGGAGTTCATTTATTATAAGGTATCTGCGCATGGCTCAGACTACCATATCAAGACATGTGATTAAGGATTCTCGACAGAATCTTAAACGTCAGGAAAATAAAACTCTTGTTCCAGTGATCGCATCTTCTTCTTCTATTATAACCTACTCAGTCCTCGACTTTGTACGTCGTAAACTCCCCAATTTTCAGCTTTTGGAATTTGACGCCAATAGGGAAGAGTTAATCAAAATTGAAAGAAAAATCGGATTTTTTTCACGAGGTCGGCTCTTGCCTTGATCTGTTTGCTCTTTTATTAATCTGAACCTATGTGACCACAAAACCTACTCACATCTTGACAACCAAGGCCATTGCATTTCACAAACAGTTAAATGGATCTGTCGTTGCTGGATACCAATAAATGCACAGGATAAAAGAAATGCTTTATTGCTTAGAAGTTTTCGTAATTGGCTGTTGTCGGGGAAAACCTGTTTCAGCCTTGCCTGGTGTCTCCAGAAAGCCTACTACGGTAAAGTTTTTTTGCTGCGGATAATGCCAAAATATCTATGCAACTGAGTAGAATAGAACTCTCATCAAAGCTAAAATTCATTAGCTAAAGGATATGGGTATATCTTGCGCTATAAACATCATCCATTTAAGTACAACCGATAACTTATCCTTTCTACAGGGCATTGCACAACCGTATTTGTTCCAGCTTTGTCCAAAATCTGAAGTCTTCATGGGCCTGCATTTTCACAGTAAATAATCGACTGTTTAAAAATTAGCAAAATGTATCTAGTAAATTCTAAACTGGCAACTGACTCTTCAGTGTACCTTTCGGGTAGTTTCTAGAAGAAACGCCACAATCGCTTCTCTTGTGATAACGTTCATTGTGGGGATACCCTCAGCTGTCAATCTGCGCATATTGACCAATCAGGTAGGTTTGTATTTCTTCACCTTAATTATAATGCAATTTTCGAGCCATGTTTGCGAGGTCAGCCAAAACTCAAACACATTTTCCTCGCTTTAGGACTTTGTTTGGGGTTTTGCCCTCATGATTTCTGGATTATGCTACTGCTTCCTCGTGGTTCGTTACGACCCCATGCGCTATCGCAAGATAATAGTTAATGACTTTGGGATTGGCGATCTGACACTGCCCGTAACCTGGGTCGCATTTATCGCGTAAGTTCATCGAGAATTTTGAGTCTTATATTCCACCAGGCTTGAAATTGTGTTAACTGGCAAAACTAACTCTTACCATGTCACCTTCATTGTAGTGGTCTAAAGAAAATTAGAGGTGGAGAGACTACATATATGTATGAATAAGCAATTTTCGGAAGGTCTTTCAAATATCCCGGTTCAAGGAAAAACGTACATGTATATCTGTTACATTTCAGGATCCATTTTTAAATGAAATTTTCATTTCCCTTACAAGTGTATGATCTTTGTCGATGTCAGGGTGGCACTGAGTACTCCTAATATATAACTACCTCAATTAGCTGTATGGGGGATTTATAAGTGGCCATGTCTAGGGGAAGCATAGCTGCTCATTTGGAAAGGTCTCCCTAGAAAAAGTAAAATCGCAAACATTGAGGTAGGTCTGTTGGTAATACAGTAAAGTT